AAGAAGTACTTGGAAATTAGCAAAGGTGCCTGTGGAGTAGCCCATATATTGCCAACATCCTCGGTGAGTCGGTGGTTGGATTGCTGTGTTGCTGTAGCTCGCATGTCAGCGTCGTTTGTAGAGGCAGGGTCGCAAAACCTCACCCTTCTCCGAGGCTACAGTCTTAGGGGGTGCCTCCTTGATGAAGCTGAACATCAGGAACATCTTGTTGGAATAATCCTATTGGGATATAAAGGATGGATTTTTTTAAGGAACAAAGAAATACCCAAAACAACTACTGGAAAGTAGGACACAAAAGAATGTGGAATACTAAGCCAGACCTGCTCTGCTGCAGATTGCATTTTTATTCTGACAATCTATGAGTTAAAGAAGGAACCATCTACGTAGCCAACATGTAAAAGAAATATGTCCGTGTATGTGATACCTTTGATTCTTTCTTGAAACCAAGTTGCTTCAAGATCTTCAGGAATTCGGCGACCGATGCAAATCTGCTGGCAACTTCGGCTATCTTCAGCTTACCCCTTTAGGGGAAAAAACAAATTCGGAGAAAAGTGTCTCAAAAACTGACATGTACAGTTAGCCTCAAGATCCCTGAACTTTCTACAATCTCAACACCCCGAAACATCCTGAGATGCCGGATAGGAATTCACTTGAGACATCCAGATACGAGGCTATGAACGTATAAGCCAGACAGTGACCACTCACTTCATTTTGAGGACTCTGTTGGCCTCCTTGAGGTAACTTATCCAGTTGGTTCCCATCAGGGACAAGCAGAATATGGCCACATCCAGACTGTTACTCTTCACTGGTACCTGTTCACAGAATGAGACAAAAGTTAACCACGGGATACATGCAAAGGCAGCCCGTTGTGCGAGTGGGACATATGGCCATGCAAAGCCAAGTACTTGAAGGGGTATATTACAGTACTTTCCAAATGTTCAAGTGTTACCCTTATACGAATAACACGCTAGGTTGTCTTCTCAGCATAGCTAGCTCCTGCCCGTCTCCTTTCCAAATCTCTTGGAAATTGTCAGTTACACTAAGGTTATAGAGTGATGTTCAAAAGAGTTTGGTACATGACAATGTAACATTCGTAAACTTTGTACACACAATTGCATGAAAGGACTTAACAGTCTTTCTGGACAGTAGCTTTAAATCCAGTACGGTTGTTTGGAGACCTCATTGTTTTAAAGTAAAACTCTATGTCAATAGTAGCAATGCTTTACAAAGCTCTTTTTTCATATTTTCCAATTGCAGACGGGGGGTGGGGACAAGCCTGAAGCAGGGTGGGGGGGCATGTACAATTGCGCACCTTTTCCATGTTGCAGACTTGCACATACTCATTCAGTGCACAAAGGTCAAATGAGTGGACAGTCTGGTGGACGCTTTGTGCGATGCGTGCCTCTCCGCAACCAAAGTCGCCAACAACGAGGCTGGCTGGCCTGCAAGATAAATTTAGTTTGACAGTTTTGTTGTTATTCTTGTTCATTTCTAAGTACATGCTGACTTTCAATCATTCTTATGTAACAGACAATTCCCTGAGAAGAAATTTCATCCTTGTGAGCAAAACTTATCAACGTTGTATTGTACATATATATTGGTCACACGCAAAATCTCCAGAGAAGGCTTGAGTTAACTGCTAAGCAACTACTGGTTCTGCTCATGAGTACTGTGAGTAGTATTGGTTTTTCCTTACAAACCTGTTGAAGTGAGCACAAAGAGCAATAATGAATGAAATGCTGATTCTTTGAATGATAAAATCTGGCTGATGTGATAACCAAGCCATCCCAGTTGGCACCTGATACTCGCCTGGACTTCAGGTCCTCAATGAATTTGTCCAGGGGGTTGACGGGCCACTTCCTGACCTGCTGGGAGAACCCCTGGTGGTAGATGTTGAAGGCTTCCCGATCTTGCTCCATCAGCCTTTGAGCCTGCGAGCCAGTGGTCTTGTACAGCTGCTCATTCAGGTAGCGGAAGTGGGCTGACTGAAGCTGGGCCTCCATCTTAGACCTGAGGGCCTGCCTAGCAGATGGGTCAAGCAGAGGTTCATCTGACTCTGACACTGAGTCTTCGTCTTGATCATCTGTCATCTTGCTATTCTCCTCCCTTTGACATGCAGTTGTTGAACCGGTGGCTGTAACCTCCGTTTTTGCAGGGGTGACTGAATTGATTCTGCTCATAACATTTTGGGATTTGTTTGCTGGCTTTGTCCGTTGCTTCTCAACTTCATTTCCAACATCCGCTGGCTTGCCAAAATTTGTAGACAGCTTTTTCTTTCCTTTGTTTTTGGTGGGCAACTGCTCACCTTCCGATGAGATCTTCACCTTGTGTTTTGATGGTGTCCTTGCATTCAACTCTTCTATCGGTAGGATGGCATTTTTGTGTTTGGCTTTTTTGGATGTTTTCCTGGCAGGTTTCTCACTATTTTTGTCGGCCTTTCCTTCTAACTCTGAATTCTGTGGGTTAAATTTTCCAGTTAGACTCTGAGATGGAGTTTTCAACTCAGTGTCTGATCTCACAGCTTTACTCTGTGGTGCCACATAGCCAAACTCAGCTGTCTTGAATTTGTTATTTCGGGGCTTCCGTTTTCTCATCTTTTTCTTGCTCATCTTCACATTTTGGTCTTCAGCAAGTGGCTCAGATTTACTAGGTTCTTGTAGATGTTCCCTGTCCCGTTCCTCCCCTGTGATAGAATCATCCATTGACTGCACCACTTTCTGTTTCTTGGGTGGTGCTCTGCTTTCACTGTCGTCAACTTGCCTCTTCTTTTTCTTCTTCACCTTAGCATTTTTAGGTGATGTACCAGCATTCTCACTCTGTTCTGATAGTCTACTGGCTTCCCTCTCATCCTTTGAACCATGTTGCCAATTTCCAGACCCTTGATTCTTAGTGTTCTTTGCCTTTTTGCTTCCAGTCTGTTCTTCACCGACCGTAGTCTGTTTCTTTCTGGTTGCATTGGATTTCTGAGGAAAAGAAAAATCACAGTGATTAAATGTGAAGCTTTTTTTTTCAACATTTTTTAACAATCATGATAAAATGGGCTTGAAAGTTTCACAAACGACACTTATAAACGACACTTTACATTGGACTTGGGACTTGCCACAGCTGTTCCATTCCGTGGACTGAACAACTTGGCATGGAGGTCTTTTGCATCAGATGAATCACCCCAGTTTTCCGCATCACAGACATCTAGAAAATCCATCTGCAGCAAATACCCACAAACAAATGTGTTACTGGCTTCCATGAAGGATGTACAAACAATGCAATTGTTGTGACACTTGTCGTACTTTCTTTATCGTTTTGATCCTTCTGCCCAGTGCCCACTCATGTCAGTGGTAAACATTTCCACACGTGAACTGAAGGGTTGTGAACTGACATGATGAAGCATCTTCTGTTTAATTCTTTTGTTCATTATCTCAACATGTAGGCATAGGCCTAGTTCTTCATTCAAACCCTTGATGGGAGGTGAGGGTAGCCCTCCATTGTGTTGCTAAGGCCTACCCTGTCATGCCTGTGGCTGTATGTACCCCACTGGGGCTCGACATCTGCTATGCTCCAACACAGTTCTGGGGTAAGCCTAGCATGCCTAGCACGAACAGGAATTAGGACTTGGCTCGTGACCCAGATCACCTTTTAGCATGTTCAAATTTTATTTCATGTCATTTATTATGTCTCAGGCATGTCACTGTCCGGAAAAACAGACACTGGATACAAAGCCAAGTGAAACAACAGACATGAACAACATTTGCTAACACCCCTGAAGGATAAACCCTAAATCCCTGGGGTGAATGTAAAAATCATATTGAAATCGGACAGCAAAAAGCTGTTTCCAGCTTTAACCAAAGTTCCATCATCAACAGACAAACTAAAGTGCAACTTACAAGTACTGAAAGTAGTACAATACACTTGGTGGTCTTGAAGTGTTGGCCTACGCCATGAGGAAAATGCACATTTTAAAGGACGCCCTCTCTTGTCAGAAGGTTATGACCCCAGAACTTCCTTTTTCTTTTACTAGATAGAGGGAGCTATTTATTATAAACATTCCGTGACCTTATTTGGCTTGAAGTTTGCAAGAGTTCGTTGACCTTAACCAATTATTGTGGCACCTGGACTCCTCTTTATCAAAATTGATCATCGCTATCCGAGTCACCAGCCTACTATCGGTAGGCATCGACTGTATACTGGCACCGTTCTGTCATCCCGAAAGCATTTTAGCGGTTTAGTTAACTCATGTAACAAGAACTCCTCGTTGTGATACTTTTTGTCTTTGATGTCGGACGTTTTTGGGGTTTTGGCTTGGACCTATCACGAAATATTGGATTGAAGCTTACTCTTGTCATCCTTGTAATCTATAAATTCGTACACTTTGCTTGGAAATTTTGTTCTGAAAGTTGGCGGAGTTAGCTGGGATGGGCGGATATCACCCTGCACAAGTTACGCGCACTGAAACCTAACACCGCTGTGTAGCCTGCAGGCATGGATAACTGACGTGTCGTCAACGGACTAACTGACCGACCGTTATCCCATGGTCACAGTTTGTTAGCTGCGGCTAGGATGACAAGCCTAGTTTCATAGATCTCCTCTGTAAAGTTTTCATATTTGAATGTCACAACAAACATTCAGACATCATCATTGAAGTCTAAACTGACATTAGAGTTTGACTAGACTCGGCAGAGACAGCAAAGAAGATGGAGGATATTTTCTCTCAGATTCGTGATGGCAATGCCATGCATGTACGAGTATGGTTAGACAATGTGGAGAATGACCCAAACCAAGGGTAAGTCCATTGGAATTTCCCAACAAGCCCTTCCCAGTTTAGTCCGAGTAACTTGGACCTTACAAATCGCTTTTTTTACATTTGGACATGGTCGGGCAATACTCAGATAGTAGGGTCCAAGTACCTTTCATAGGCTTTTGCTTCCATTAATTCCTTTCACTCAAAATAGTCCAAACCGAGTGGCCCTATACCGTGGTGACTATAAATAGCTTTGAACAATGAAAGAGTTCCACACATGGACATCACTAAGATTTCCCTACAGTGGTGAATCAGCCATCAGAAAACAATCACAGAAGTCAAATTTAGCAGGTAAAATACTGAAGCAGTCTGATTTAGGTGTGCTCTGGTTATCTGTGTGTGGAACTCTTCCTAGTAGGTTTAACATTAGTTAAAGTATGGTACGGTATTTTATTTCTTTTGATAATGATGAAATGTGGGAAAACTTTTTGAACCATAAATTTATTGTATCATTCAGATGTGCTGCTTGTCCATAGTACATGTACATGTACTGTATATCTTTACCATCATATTTAGAAGGTATGTATTGAGTTCAGTATCTTGGGACTAGTATGGAGCATTCTGCATACATGTTTGTGGTGCTAAGCTACTTTACTCATTTCCCTCTTTAAAAAATATTGTGCTGATTTGGTAACTCACATTTTTTTAAAATTTAATTCTCTTTTACATGCAACTTAAATGTTCTTTTGTGCATTTTCCCATCACCAATACGAATGAAAATACAGGATCACATAAAAATCTATCAAATCTGAAATATTAGAAATTGAAAACTGAGTGGACAGTCCGGATGTCTGCACCTTTAGTACGGTGTTATTTTTGCAGTCCCAGATTGTGACAGGAAGGAAGTCTGTAGGAAATTTCCAGCAAGTTGATCTGTGTGGAGTTAAAGAGATCATATAATAGAATGATTCCACTACAGGCCTTGAAATTGCAGCTTTATGTTTCAAATTGTAATTTTAATCTGCATTTTTGGGCCTTGTTGTTTTTATGCTAATGCAGCTTTGCATATGTATGAGCAAAACTGCGATGTCATCAAGGGCACTGAACCTCAATGTTGCATTGATTTGTGCACAGTTTGCAATCATAAATTTCCAATTGACCAATAAGCCAGCAGGCAATGTTTTCTCAGAAATGGTTTCAAAGAACAAATTAGGACTTTAAAATGTGAGCTTTGTAATATGAAGACGGAGCAGCATCCTCTCTGATTTACTTCACAGCATCCTCTCTGATTTACATCACAGCAACAGGGCCCTCATTCTTATAGAAAAGTTTGGACAATTTTTCAAAGTTTAAAAGAGTGCACTTTTAGTACACTGAACTCCACAAGGATTTCAAATTATTTTCGCACTTTGAAGAAGAGTACAAATTGGCATTAAAAGTGAGCTTACAAAAACTTCATTGCATGCATGTGTGTTTCCTTTCACTTGTTATATGCAACTTCTGAATTAAAGAAAAATGATTGTTTCAACAGACCAAACAATTTACGTATACAAAATGCTATTGAATACGCTTATCTATAAATAGTCCACATTGTTTGGGAATGGATAAAATTTGGCCAAGGAGGCTAAGAATTTGTGTGCGTTATCTCATCAATGGCTTATGTGTAGTAGGTTGTGCGTACTTGTCCATGTCTCATACTTTCACTCACATATAACTTGGACCCATTGTGTGAAAATGAGCCAGAAATTGCCAGAGCCATGGTATTATCACGATGAAAATGGACATTATGTGTGTGAAACATGTTTAGGACTCCTGTTGCTTTACATTGAGCAAGATTCCTTTAAAGGCCTTCAACTCAAATGTGCCTCTGGCAACTTGTGACTCAGTTTCACAGAGTGGGTCACAATTAGTGTACATGTATGAACAATTTGATTGGGATGGAACAAACCTTTTCCCTCTGCAGTGATGACCATGGTTTCAGTCCCATGCATTGGGCCTGTAAGGAAGGCCGCACCAACATCGTCGAGATGCTGATTGGTCGAGGAGCTAAGATCAATGCCACCAATATGGGTGATGACACAGCATTGCATCTTGCCTCGGCACACGGCCATCGCGATATTGTGCAAAAGGTGAAGAATTGTATCAGTTTAGAAAGAATTTAGTATCTTAGCGTCACATTTCCCTGCCAGTCTCATTGCCAAATCTTTGGAAACAAACCTAAATTTGGACAAAAGGTTTAAGTAGATTCTGTACCCAACCTTGGAAGAGAAGTCTGATTACTGGACATCCTTTTTTTTCTCCATATAATTTGTTTTTGCAAAGTCCATTTGTTTCATACCCACTGAAGTTTCATTTATCGTAGCCTAATAAAATAAAGCCATGGTTACTCTCTTGTGATAGAAGATACATTAGATGTATTTGTTTTCTTCATTTTTGCTAATTGCAGTTAAAGTTTATTGTGCTCAGTTTTGTACATCCGATCACAGTTAACTTTAATAGTTTACACCACGCTGTTTTACAAAACATCACTCAGCTGCATATAATGAAGTACTGTACACAGTGAATAATCTATTCAACTGTTGAACAAACTACAAAATGTTTTCACTTTCTTTTGCAAATCAAGCTCTAGTATGACAGCCTGTATGCTTTGAACAGCACAAGGTTAACGTACTATGATACAATTTAAGGAAATTAAGGTCTGCTCATTTTACATATAAGTTGTGGGTTTTTTGCATAAGAAGCTACTGAAACTATGGCTGCCATCAGTACAAAAGTAAAAGAATAATTCCCTGAGTGTAAAGCATTCCAAGAGCTTTTGAAACATCAGATAATAATAAGTGTATTACTAAACACTAAATGCAAATACAACCCTCTTTAAAATTTATGGCACAAATGCACATTTTGAGCACATTCGAGGTCAAATCAAACTCCAAACAAAGAGTGTTGTTATTCTGCTACTTTGGCTGCCCATACATGTACAAGTTGTAGGCACAAGGAAAGCGGTCTGGTCTGCTCACTGGATCCATACACTTGTATGTAAAGGTGACATACATGTACTGAGCGTGAGTAGACCACTGAATAATGTAGTGTGTCTGTGTCCCGTATACCATGATAACGATTCTATCTTCAAGCAGACTTGACGTGCAGTAATGAGTGTATGTGCGTTTAAATGCATGTGACGATCAGCACGGGTAAATGCGCTACGTAATGAATTTACAGTCATGCAAATGTGTGTTTGCTTTTAGTGTAAAAATAGCACGGTGTGTTGAGTTACAACAGTGCATTACACGGGGTTTGACGTGGACTGTGCAACACAGTTATACATGTATGTCAAGAGTTATACACTCTTTGTTGCCATAGATCGGCCAATCAGAATGAAGAATTCAAGTTTGCCTGAAGGTACTCTGTAAGTGTCAGAATTTGATGAATAACAAGTTGCCTGTTTTGGTCTACATAGCTTCTTCAGTTACGAGCTGACGTGAATGCAGTCAACGAGCATGGTAACACCCCACTACACTATGCCTGCTTCTGGAATTATGAACTCATTGCCGATGTAAGTCTCACACTCAGTTGGTTTGTTTCTGAGTAAGAAACAAGTGACCAATTCCACGGCATGCCATTCTCATCTGAATGACTCCGGCATACAGTTACATGTATGTGGAACCAGAGACTTCTTATGCAAATCTGATTGCTTTTCTTTTATGCTGGGTTGGGACTTGTAAACTCCAAATTCAAGTCACTTTGAATCAGTAGTGATGATACATATGATGGTACATCATGTGTGTGGATGGTGTTGTCCTACTGTACACAGTAACATTACCCTAGAAAGTTGCATATAATTGACTCCTGCCAAAATCCCTCCATCCAAGGTTTTACTCCTCATGGCGACCCTGAAAGATTTTGGGTGCCCAAACCAAAGTTGGCCCATACATTGTGGTACATTGTCCCCTCTGGAGGGGTGTGTGGTGGAGTTGGTTAGGGTTTGTAACTTCCAGCTGTGAGTTTGCGGGTTCGAATCCAGCAGCTGGACATATGTTGTGACCTTGGTCAAGTCACTTTTCCCCTCTTGGCCTCTCTCCACCCAGGAGGGTGAATGGTACTAGCATTAGCTGTGATGGACCTGAATCTCATCCAGGGATAAGAGAAATACATGTTTCTTCAGTCATTTCAGTGATTAACACCAACCTTGTGGGCTACATTGGCTCAGGAAGGGCTTTACCCAAACTCACGTCCTGATGGCATTGTTGTAAGGATTTCTAAGGTCTTGGTTTAGTTTGCTCTTTTCTAGATGTACATTTCAATATATTCCATGTTTGCTTCATTCCATCGTGCAGGATCTTGTCAACAGTGGTGCCTTAGTCAGCCTTTGCAACAAATTTGGAGACACACCATTAGACAAAGCCAAACCTGGACTTGCCAGTGTTCTGAAAGGTACATGACCCTCATCTTGTTGAAAGATTCATCCTGCCTTTCCCATTGGCCAAAACTCTTCTCGATCTTCCTATAAGGAAGTGGGACGGGGAGTGACAATGGTACAGTGTACAGCTGAGCCACTGTTGCTTTACGTTGGGCCAGACACTTTTTGAAAATCCAAGTACATGTACGTGCACAAAGAATGCGATTATGAAGGATTTTGGCTTCAATCTCATCAAGAATTCTGACTTTTCAACTGCATGGATTTCAAATGTCACAGTAATCCACTTTGTGACTAATTAACAATTCCACCATTGATTTCAGAGGTTTTAGATGAATTTAGGTCCAAAAACATTAAACAGAATACAGCCATGAATCATGCATGTAAAAATACCAAAGCACATAACACAAGTAATGTCGGCTTAACGTGATAAATTTTTACATGAAATTCTGAGTCACAGTTCTAGATCAAATGATTTTCAGTTTCAACAATGTAATTATTTTAATAAAAACAAATTCAGTTGATTCCCTTCTCCCCCAACACCCCCCTGCTCAACAAAAATTGATACATGCCAAATTCAACAGGATTCAGTTGTTGTATGTACAACCAAAAGAAGTTTCACTTTTTATTGTTCTGATCAACAAAATTACCAGAGTTAGGCAGCACCTTAGTCATGTTTGGGTAGGAGCGTTATATGGGGAAAAAATAAGGGCAAAGTTTAGAATTTATAGGGTCTATGCAATTGTTTTCATTTTACAGTCCTTGAAGATTCACCTTGGTGTTTCAATCAACCTTGTTTTCAATTTTTGTCCCGCTATTTTGGAAGGCATTTTGGTGGCTTTTTGATTTATGTGCTAATGCAAATTTCCACATTCATGAGCAAACTTTGATGTCATCACAGGGAGGAATCATAATATAGCACTGATTCCTACACAGAAAACTGCTGGAATTTCGATACATCACTGCTACCTTTAAAGTTTAGTGATTCATTGTTGTTTGTGTTAGCATGTACGTGGCAATAACCCTTTCTCAGAAATGTTATCAATGAGTAAGTTTGGGGTTCTCAATTTGAACAAGTCTTCATAAATTGAAAACGGGTGTAAAGTTGCTCAAAGTGTGTTAAAAACAACTTCATTTGCCTAGACAGTTAAGTTTGTCATTTGTCTTTCTTCCATTGCACAGATCGCGCTGCAGCTAATGGACAAGACCTCAATAAAATACCCTACAAGAACAGCAATTGGGGCGGCATGAAAACAAGAACACGTAAGTTACCATTTCCAAAATGACATAAATGTTGGCTCTATCTCATCTGGTCATCTGTCCTGACGACAGGCAAAAACAGTTTTCGACTGGCAGTTTTGCCTCTTCAAAATGTACAAGCTCCATGTGTCACAAAGTTTCAACACTGGTGAACAGATCTTGACATTTCCTTCCAAAATGTTGCGAAATATTTTCTGCTGTCTTTGGCAGGAGATGGAACACTCTCCAGATTTGCTGGGATCGACCTCAAACATGTGAAGTTGCAGAGTAAAATTGGAAGCAGCCCAACTGGGGAGGTATGCTCTTTAATTTATTGTGGGAAAAATAATCAAGGTCCTGTGTATATTGAGTTTCCCTGTAGAAAACATAATTCTTGAAACCTCTCAATGACGGTTAGTATCAACAACCAGATTTGTTTGACAGTCTGGATATAATGGGCTTGTGGTTCCCAATTTTTTCCAGATTCCACAGTATTGCATGAATATGTAAGGCCGCAAATGAGTTTTTCTACTTTTCCTGTAGTCTGTTTAAATTTACAAGAGTGGTAGTTTAACTTTTGATTTATAGATTGCCAAAGGGCCGTGTAGCTCAGATGGCAGGCCACTAGTATAACGTCATTAAGATTGCATGATGTAGCTGAAATCTCACTCCACTTAACTGTCTTTGTTCAATGTATTTTGGATTGAAAGTCAATCTAAACAGTTATAACTATGTTTTCCTTGATGAAGTATAAATAGATCCCCTCCACCATGATTATTAAAGGAGACAACCCATGTATCACCCTGTCTGTCCCCAGATGTGGAAAGGTATGTGGCAAGGCACAGAGGTCATGGCCAAGGTCTTGCGGGTCAACAACATCACCTCCCGCATCTCCCGAGAGTTCGGTGAGGAGTTCCCCCGCCTCCGCATCTTCTCTCACCCCAACATCCACGCCGTGCTGGGCTGCGTCAACAGCCCGCCCAACCTGATTGTGCTGAGTGAACGCCTGCCCCATGGTTCGCTCTACCATCTTCTCCATGAGGCATCAGGTAGGAGGAACTTTTATTCTTCCCCTCCATCTCCCCTTGGAAACTGATGCTTAATGTCCAAACAGCCTCTCCAGCTCGCCCCTTGCTGTGTAACATAAACAGTAGGATACCACTGCAACATTTCTCCCTGGATGAGAAATACTTCTTCTTTTCTTATACTTGTAGTGAATAGCCACTTCTTCATATCCAGTGTCATGCAACCTTTGCAGTGCTCCGGGCCAGTTCAATTACTGAAATTGTCAATCTCATTTGGGGTCGGTAGCTCCAAACTTATGCATGTTTTTTAATCCTTGGTGTCTTGTGCGTGTAGGTAACATGCGTGATTTCTGCTTCAAATTTGACGTCGTAACCCCATTATGTGCTGTTTGGAGCTGGCGCGTTTGAAGAAGAAAAAGCTCCCCCCCCCCAAAAAAAAAACCTCACAAAAAATTCCTTTTGTCCACCATAGATGTCATGATTGATCAAGCTCAGACTCTTCGCTTTGCGGTGGACATTGCTCGAGGCATGGCCTTCCTGCATGCCATGGAGCCTCTCATCCCACGTTATTATCTCAACAGCAGGAACATCATGGTATGTTGAGTAATGGGTGCACAGGAATGTTCTCAGCTCCAGTGAGGGCTTTTAGCCTTCACCAGGAGCTTTGGAAACCATTCCCACTTGGTTTCCATCCCCAGTTGTAAGAATATTACGATGGACAGTTTTGGAAAGTTTTGACTGGATGGCAATAATGGGTGTGTCTACCCAGCTCCCCACACCTTGCTGCGTAAGCCGCTGGGTAGTGATAGACAGCTTACCAGCTCACCACA